ATCCTGTAGGTGCTCTGAAAAACCTCACCCCAGTGTAACCGCAGTCTCCAGCCATGGCCACCCCGATACCTTCATGGCCCTTCTGCTGCCGCCCTCAGGACATGCTGGGAGCTGGGCCCCCGGCTGGCAGCGGCTCAGCTCCAGCCTCAGCCCCCCAAAAGCACCCCAAAAAGCCCCCAAAAGCACCGTGGTGCTGCCCCCGCTCCCTCAGGAGCCGCCGGCTGCCCCTGGCAGGTGCCCCCTGGGGATGCGGGGAGGCAGGACACGGTGCCAAGGCTCTGCCTGCCCCACGGGGCTGGGCGCAAGGTCTGGCCCACCCAGCTCCCTGGGTTGCTCTTCCCCTTCCACGGGGCGAGAGGAGCTGAGCAGCCCAGGGGGAATGCTGTTCCCAACATAACCTCTCACGTCTGAAGCCAGGCAGTGGCCGCATCGTCTCCATCTCCCACCCCAGGGGCCCCCAGGGGCAGGGTGCGGGCAGACGGGGTGCTGAGCTGCTCGGCACCAGCCTGAGCCCCCGTGGCAGCAAGAGCCGGGGTGGAAAGGCGGGGAGGGCAGGCCAGGTACCTGGAGGAGAAGCAAACATTGAAGTTGCTCCGAAAAGCAAAACCTCCCTGATATTTTTCCTTTTAGGAAACTTGGAAACATCCATTTTATGACATTTTCCAGTGGTTTTGCCTTGTTTTATAGCAATTGACAATATTTATATAATGACATAAACTACCATAAAGCGAGGCAGCCATGTAAATAGGTGTAAAGGGGAGGGCTCCCAGGGAAGCCCCGGCCAGTGCCACGTGCTGGAGCCATGGCAGGGAGGGCGCGAGCTCTGCAGAGCCCCCTCAGTCGCACAGCCCCGCAGAAATGAACTGGGGTACCAGGAAATTCAGGGGCACCAAGGCACCCACCCCACCAAGCCACAGCTGCCCCCTCCTTACTCCGGGCAGATTCGGTCTTCCTCACTTCAGGGCTCAAGGACAGGCAGCAGATTTGCAGCCGAGGGAACCCAAGCCACCAAGAAAGACAAAATCTGAGCTTCGGTGTCCAAATGGAGGCCTGAAGCCCCAAAGCCGGGCTGGATGCACTCCTCCAGCCGGCATCAGGGGACGCCTGGGGCAGCCTGGTCCCTGTTTAGCCAGGACGAGCCACAGGTGACCGCACTGCTCCCAACAGCCCCAAAGCAGCCGGATCCAGCCCCAAATCTCTTCTTCACCTACACAGCGGAAGGTGAGGTCAGGGGACTCGGGGCTGCCCACGCCACACACCCCGCGCTCCCTCAGCCCCTTCCCAAGCCTGGCAAGCACCGGGTGCCCCCCAGCACCCCCCTGGGGATGAGCCCCGGCCCTTTCACTGATGCCGGTGTTTGGGAGGCAGCGGGGGAAACGCCACGTGCCCGCTGCCTGCCAAGCCCAGCAGATCGGGAACGGGGCTTGCACAGGGTGAGAGCAGCTTGGGGACACCAAGCCCCTGTCCCCATCCCACTGCCAGCCTGCTCCGAGGTGGCTGCAGGAGTTCTGCGCTCACCAACAGGAGCGGAGTCGCTCCATCCATGCTCCCAGTAAGCCCGACCTGCTGGAGCAGCTGGTGCAACTGGTGTGCTTCCCTTCAGGGTGCCCCAATTTTGGGGTGTCTGGGGATGCAGCTGCTCCCCGCAGCCTCCCCCGCTCCAGGACATGTCCCGGGGGGGAGGGGGATCTCATCACCCAGCGGGGACCAGATCTCACTCCTAAGCATCACCGCCACGGCCAGGGGTGCAGCAGTCGGGGTGGGCAACGAGGAAACCCCACCATAACCCCCAGGAACCGCAGCGCCCACCCACTGCCTGCCCTGCGCACCCCACGCCTCGGCCCCTGCGAACCGCCCCCATCCCACGGCCAAGGAGGTGACAAAGAGCCGGGGGGGCACGAGCAGGGGCTGGGACGGGGCAAAGGGGCTGCGGCGCCTTCAGCGCAAGATCGGAAAGCAGCTGAAATGCCAAAACAATCATCACTCGACGGTAGCACCCGACAGGAGTCGTTTCGTCTCGTTTTTGTTCGTCTCGTCGTGTCCGTCCCCCCCGCACACCCGCTCCTCTCCGGTCACCCAGACCTGTCACAAAACCTGTGTTCGTTGTTTTATTTTTTTGTTTGTTTTGTTTTTTTTTATTTTTTTTGTTGTTATTTCTGTTAATATCTTGAATTGTAAATGTTGTTTAGTTATGACCATTGCATACGGCTTTGGGCGATGTTTCTTTACAATGCATACTAATATATTATGGTTATTATATATGAATATATTTAATGACACGTGAAAAAGTTGTGGATTTTCTTATTGTTTTTCTGAATTATTTCTTTTTTTTTTTTTCTTTGTCTGTTTCGTTAGATTGGCTGTAATTGATCCCGAAAGAGCTTGTAACTGTTCAGCACCCACGCGGTAGAACTAAAGTCAGAACCAGTTGAATAAACTCTTGTAAACCGAACCCATCTCCGCGCTCCTCTGCTTCCTCCCGCCCCAAGGGGCCCCGCTCCGTGCAGGGGCTGCTGAACCCCCCCCGGCACCCCCAGCACCCCCGGGGGTAGCAGGGGTGCCGTGGGCTCACCGGGCACATGGGACCGGGTCCCTGGGGGTGCCTTTGGGTGCTGACACCTGCGGGACCCTCGTCCAGCACCAGGAGCAGGATCGAGGGCCAGGTGCGGGGATGGGGACAGGGACAGGGCTATGGGGGGGCTGCCAGCCCGAGGGCCGTTCTCAGGGCCCCCCTTTGCTCCCCCAGCTATGGGATTTTCAGCCCCAGCAGCCGGAGTGCTGGCAGAGGGAGGGCACAGTGGGAACAAGGCAGCAAAATGCTTCCAGAGAGAAAAACACGGGCAAAAGGTGCTGCAAACGGCAGAGGGGTCAGCCCGCGTGACCCACGCTCTCAGTGTCTCCGATAATTTATTAATTCGAAAACATCTCCGAGGTCAGAAATCTCAGATCTTTATTGCAGGGACAAATGGGTCAGCAGTGCCCCCAACTCCGCCCCGGGGCTCTCGGCGGCTTTGCAGAGGAGCAAATGGATTTCCCAGCCCCGCCGGCGATCCCCAGGGCTCAGCCTGGTCCCCGGTGAGCACCGCGCTCGCGGCATCTGCAGCGGGGCGTTCGGCGCGGCTCCAGGAACGAGGGCACCCGAAAAGGTGCAACCACAGAACCCGCTGCACCCCGCAGGCATGGGGAAACCCCAAGCACCACGTGGCCCGTGCCGGGACCCCAGGGCAGGGGGGTGACAGGGGGCAGTGACAACGCGACAGAGCCCCACGACCCCGGCTTCCCAACCCCGCTGGCTCCGGGGCTGCCAGTGAGCTGCTCCGCTGTTTCAACCTTCCTTCTTTTGTGGAGCCAGGAGACAGAAAAGCGCTCCACGCACAGCAGAGCGCTGCCAAATCCGCTTCTTTTTAATAAAGCTCCTCACCCACATGACACGTTAAATGTTACCTAAAGGGCAAACCTCTGAATCCCTTTGTTAGACGCTTCAGCAGAGCAATCCTCAGTGTTCCCACCTTCCCATGCACCAACAGAAAAATGCGTTTGAGGACAAAACAGACCAGAAAACATCTTTTTTAAAGCCTCTATCGACTCAAAGTCACTGTCCCATTGATCAGGATGAATTATGAATCCATTCTGCCCATCCTGGGAGTTTAAATAAAGCCTTAATTCCCTCTGTAAAGTGCAGTTTTAATCAGAAAGCCCAGTCCGCAGGCTCGTCGTGATGAACCGAGCTGTGCCTGCTGCCAGCAGAGCCCAGCAGGGCAGGTTTGGCACCCAGCTCCCCCCCCACCAGCACCGCGGGAGCGCACGGGTGCTGGAGACGTCTCCAAAGCTCCCTGCTGCTCCTTTCCAGCTGGGACAGCCTTGCTTAAAGCTCCATTTCTACTGAGATCAAGCAATAAACTAATCAAAAACCTGTTGTGTCCTTTTGGAAACCACAAGAAAGTAGAACTATTTTTTTTTTCCAGTCCCTCCTTTGAAGGTTGTAATATGAAGCATCTTTGCAAGGGAAAACAAGCAAAACAGAACAACCTGGACTGGACTTCTAAAGGACTTAAAGGATTTTCTCCAGCAAAGCACATGGAGACGTGTGAGGGACTCTGCTCCTTCGCACTAACAGGCACCGCTCCAAAATCTCACCTTGCAGGCAGAACAGATGCCGTTACCCACCTCGAAGCCCAAACCCAAATTTCTACCTGTGTGCAGAGCCCAGGAAGCCAGCGGGGCACACCTGGCCTTGCCCCAAAACCGGGAATCCCACTGGGGGCGCGGGTCTCCCCGGCAGCCCCTCACTCAGGAGGGGATTTTCAAAGCCCCCTGCCCGTGCCACGCTGCAGCTCCTGGGCTGTTTCCCACAGAGCTCCGAGCTCCACCTGCCCTGTGCTGGTCCCCGGAGCACAGGCAGGAAAGGGCAAAGTGCTGGGGCTTTTCAGCCCCCGGGAACAGTTCCTACCCGTTAGCAACAGACACGCATTTGGTGGGTGCTCGGCAGCTCTGTGAATCCGCTGCCTGCTTCCAGCAGAACCATCGCACGCTGCCCTTTCCAGGTCGGATCCTGGAGCCTCAGCTCCAGCTGCAAGGATTTAATGAGAGCAGTTCTGCGCTCAGATCTGCAGATCTGCACACACTTCCCAAGAGGTCAGTGCCCGAGCCCCAGCCAAAGGATGGGGAAACCGAGCAGGGAAGAGGGGATGGCTTTGTGCCCCAGGGGGCTGCACAGTGCCAGCCCCGCGTCCCTCCTCCCAGCGCAGCGCTGCACCCGTGGCACCTCTGGGTGCGGAGGGGAGGGCGGCAGGGGCAGCTCGGAGCCCCCAGAGCACGTCTCCCACCGCCGTGAGGGAGGACCCAGGGCTGGCAGTCATTACAGAGCCGCAGGATGTGTGTCGAGATACACAGAGCCACTTCTTTCCTTCTCAGAACCGGCTCTGAGGTGCTGGAAGTGTGAGTGAAATCACTCGCCCGTAACACGAGATGACAGGAAACGTTGAAACGCCAGGCAGATGAATTGTATAGAAATGGATCAGCTTTTATTCAACAGTTATTGCTTGCTCTATCAATTCGGAAATCAAATTGGCGCATGTAACAAAATAATGATTTTTTTGGCCAGAAGTGAGCGTTCAATACTTCTTTTTCATTAGTTTTTAATAGGCAATCCTTCCCTTCAGTATTAACAGTGTGTGGAAAGTTATAAAAGAAAGAGGCAGATCTCAGCTGCTGAAATTAGTACGTTAATAGCAGCGCATCTCCTGCGGTCAGGCGGAGGCTGCCCCGAGCAAGGCAGAGCACGTGGAGAGCGCTCCTTCCCCATGAGCGCATTTTGGGCAAGGTTTTCCACGCTTACGCACCTGGTTGTGTTAAAGCCCTGCTGCTGTTTACATTTCTATCTGCAGAGATCAACACCGATAATTCTCCCCCAGCGGCCAAAGGCTGACTCACTCGTGGCCATTTCGGAGCAGCTCATCTGGGTTCCTGCGCTCGGGAGCAGCGCTTCCCCGCAGGGCTACGCCTGCCCTCACGCTCCCCATCCCGCTGCGAGCTACGTGCATGCATTCCCTAAAACATGTATGCCTTGAAAAACAGTAAGAGTTTTCAGTCTGGAGAAAGGTATCAGAAAGCACAGGAGCCGCTGGTGTCCTCCCCAGTCTCACCTTCACAGCTGGCAGCATGTCAAAGCCCCTGGGACAAGCGGCCGCCCAGCAGAGCAGCAGAGGGCCGGGGAGCGAGCCAGCATCACCGCCTGCTTAGACGTGGAGGCACTGCCAGCTGCATCCTCCCAGAACGTGAAATCAAGGTAGGAAGAGTCCTTTTCAAGTTCAAACCCTCCAAACCAGGCAGCACTCTTCAGCTGTGCACCGAATGAAGGAACGGATGTCTGCCGGACACAGCTTCATTCTAACACTGTGGAGTTTATTGAAAACACATAAGGGCTTTGCACAAAGTTGGTCTCTTCTGTGGAGTCGTCCATGCTCAGCTGGTGAGCAGCAGCTCAAATGGGCCCCACATTCGCCTTACTTTGTTGGCCAGACAGCAACCACAGCAATTGCAATCAGCAGCAACACAATTACCACCAGCATTCCTGGAAAAGATGAAACAACACGTTAAGGTTGCTGCCTTCATCTTTTACAATTGGTCTTTTGCAATTAAACTCTTCCTCCCCGTCCTGCTCCCCCTCCCAGCTCAGACAGATTTTCCCCCACGCTCAGCGCATGAGAGCCCTTCCTCACCGCCCCACCAGACCCTCGCACGCCGATCACCTGCACCGCAGCCCGAACCCGACAGCCCCACTGGCAGAGCAGTTCCTCCCCAACTGACCCCCGAATTCAGTTTTCGCTGTGCCTGCGGAGTATCTTCCTACTTCAACATCTGCCTTGAAAAATGAAGGGGCAGGTTTAACGCGTTGCAAGCACCGTGAAGCTCTTCTAGAATCCCTCTCCACCATCCCACTGGGGAAAGGATTATTCAGAAGGAAACCCAAATTGCATCAGGAAATTGTTTCCAATACAAACTACTCCCACATCCAGGCAGAACGATCTGCACAGCAGAAGCAGCGCGTTTGGGGACGCGTGTACCTGGCTTCAGAAAACAAACCCCAAGCAGCACGTGAAGGAGCGGGGCGGTGCTCTGCCCCCATGGGGTGCCCAGCCCTCCCGGCTGATATTCTCATGACTAATTCAATCTCACCAATCCGCACGACTATTTATTAGCTCAGCAGAAGGCTGGTGTTACGAGGGGCACGTTAGCAGCAGAGCACCCAGGCGGGCTCCCCGCAGCCCCAGCACCACGCAGAGCCGCTCGGTGCCCGTGGTACGGGGCTCACCGCCTGGACACTGCCCTGCCACAGCCCAGAGGAAAGCCCTTCTGGGCAGCCGGGCTGGAGGGGACAGGCAGAAACGCTCTCCTGAAGGCAGACTGGGTGCCACCGCCTCCCAGGCACCAAGAGCCCCAAAAGTCAAGGCCTGGCACAGGCACGGCCCCCAGGGCAGCGGCGCTGCGCTTCCCCCGGGGCTGAGCTACCTTTCAGTTATCTGCTGTTTGTGCTGGTATCTGCTCGGCGCTGTCCTGCCAGAGCTGTGGGAATATGTTAGGGCTCCAAGAGCGGAAAAAATGTCCCTTCGCTTGGTCCGCTAACAGATGACTATTACTCAACCACTTACAATATTTACAAGTCCAGCTCATGGCAATTAAGAAAGGATGTATTAAAATAAACTCCTCTTTCCAAGCTGGAAAAGGATATTAGACATCGCTTTTTGTAAATAGTGTCATGTTTTCTGTGCAGAAACGGTTTCTGTGCCAGGGGTCCGTGATTTTTTTCCAGCGCAGCAGAGTTGCCACCACCACAACTCCTCCTCTTCTGCCCAGCTGCAGGCGGGGGGGCAGCGAGCGGGGCACGGCCGCAGCAGGGACAGCCCATGGGCTGCAGCTACAGCCCCCGGGGACACCGTGCCGGTACACAGGTGATGCTGCAGCACGGGCTACACCTGGATAACACTGCGTTAATCACACTGAACAGGGAATGGGCTCCTAAAAATGCCTGGCTGTTGCTGCTGCTTTCTGCCCCCGCCCAGCAGCGTGATCCAGGCGTGCAGGAACCAGCGGGGAGCTGGACCACGAGCGGGTGACTCGCTCCCACCCCCCGGCAGGGCTGAGACGCCGGCATTGAGCTCAGGCGTAGCCCACCCACCACCTCCAACTCACCCATCAGCACAGCCTGCTGCACTAACACTGTGCTAACACCATCTCTGCTTTTACTGCACTGCTCGGCTCCGTGCTCTTACATCTTAATGTGCGTTTTGAGGTACTCAGCGAGGCTGGAAGCAAACAGCCTGCTTAAATAAGGAAGAAGCAAGATCTGATTAAGCTCCTGCATTCACCTTCTCTGTTATGTTTTGCACTGGAGGGAAAAGTTTTAGAGGGTGCAAATCCTTTGTGCAGTTTCAGTGTAACAGTTTATGGACTTCAGCAATTAAGAGACAACCGAGATCGGTTTCTTGGAAAACACTCCAAAGGTGTGAATTAGTAACGATACGGAGTCGAGTTAATGGGGCATAATTATTCTTTGACAACTCCCAAGAAAAACTCCACATAAACCAGAATTATTACACAGCAGGAACCAGGGAAGGTGGGGGACTAATAAAGTCTGGCTAATGGGCAGGGGCAGAATGAATAGGAAACTCGAGAGAATGGGTAGGGCACCAACAGCAGGACAGCAAAATGAAAGAAACTTCATCTTTTTCCTGGAAAGAGACTGGTATTAAAAACCTGGAGCCACTTTTCTGTTTCCAAAGCAGTGGTCAAGTATTTTACTCCCCACATGAGAGACGGGGAAGCAGAGATGGCACGTGGCAGCGCAGCGTAAATCAGAAACCAGCCAGCATTAAAGGCTTATCTGATCCTCACAGTATGCACAAGAAGAATAGGACAACGTAAATTGGCAATAGCATACAAATTTCAAAGTACCTCTTGCATGATAGAGACCAGATGTTACGCACATTGTATTTTTTCCTATACTACAGAATAACAGATTAGAAGGATCTGAGGCTTGAAACTTGGGTGTTTCACAGCGCGCAACATGCTTTCCTACCCAAAACTGCAGATAGGACCTGACAGTAATTATGCATTCTGGATTCCCTGCCTGCTTTGCCTTTCTTTGCTCAAGCCCCATGAAACACAAACAGCCCCCTCGACAAGAGCTCCTCAAAGGAAAGTTCACGAATCAAAGCCACCAACAAAGCCAAGGGGAGTCGGAGAGCAGCAGCAGCGAGGACCAGCTCCCTGCACAAAGGAGAAGCGACAGAAACGCTCGGAAACGTGCTGCAGGGCAAGGTGAGGAGCGACGGCAGGAGCCTGGGCGCAGTCGTGGCCATGGGCTGGGGCACTTGGAGGAGGCTCTCGAAGCTCCACGTGCTGCAGAGCTCGAGGCCGTGCCGTTGTTTCAGTGCAATTCAGTCCAAATTCCCCTTGCCCTGCCCCTTCCTTGCTGCCCCCATGGCTGCCCGAGGCCCTTCCCGCGGCACCACAGGGGTTTGGGCACCCAGGGAATGAGTTTTCAGCCCCAGCTCGCGCTGTGTTTTCCAGGGGTTAACGATGGGCACAGATGCAGTCAATGGCCCAGGACCCCAGGACCGTGCCGCAGGGCCCCAGCCGGGCAGGGGGAACGTCAGGGTGCCAAAGTCCCTGCTGGGAACGGGACCACACTTACAGCCCGGGCACTCTGGTGTGCTGCCAGCTGTCCTCAGGGACCACAAACAGCACTGCGGCAGACGACAGCCCAGTAAGTCATTTCGTTTCCTCCCTTCCTCCCAACCCTGCCTGCCCCACAGCCGCGGGGGCGCAGAGCACGTCCCTGCCCCCGGAGCCGGGCACCCACAGAGTGCAGGGCACGGGGCACCGCGGGGCACCCCGATGGGCTGGGGAGCAGCAGCACAGGGAAAAGCTGACGGTGCTGCCACCACGCCTGTAACCTCACAGGGTGCTTACTGAGCTTCTTTCCCCTCACCAAGTGCTGCGAACCCCGCACAGCCCCGAGGGGTCGGTTTCCTCGGAGGACAGCGGGTGCCCACCACCTTGTGCTCACCATTAACCACCGAGCATCTCCTGCCCCTTCAGACCAAGGCCGCTGAGCCTGACCAACCTGCAGGTTCATTGGGGCATTTCTAATTCCCCCTGCTAACGAGGGCTGGAGCCCGGCAGAAATTTCTGCCCAGGAGCACCGAGGAGGAGAGGAGCCCTGGCAGCACCCACACAAAGCAGCCAATTGTTGCTTGTCAGCTCGGCGCTCATGCCAGCTTTGTGACAAGGCAATATTTACTGTGAAATATCCACTTATTGTGCTGAATATAACTCCTGGGAATCTGAGCGTGTTTAGGATCTGGCAGGGATTCAAGTGCCTTTGCAAAGGCAGGCAGGAACTTTGTCATAAATACATCTTGTTTTGACAACTCCCTCTTGAATATGTGTCAAAAGATTTCTGGGCTGCCTCTATCAGCCTCTCGACGTACCATTAACGCCGCGGCGCTGCCCCGTTGGGTTTGCTGTGCTCCTGCAGGACGTGCTGGGCTCCAGCAACCCCAGGGAGGGTCCACGGCGGCGACGGTCACTGCCAACGGGGCTGAGGCTCCGCTCCCACACACCCGCACCGTTCTCTGGGGAGGGGGGATCACACCTGCCACATACCGACGAGGAGGGTGCAGGCAGGTGCCGTGGGGCTGTCAGGGGTCCCTCGGGGTCCCCAGCCCTGCTCTGCTGGACCCCAGCGCAGGGAAGGCAGCAGCGGGCACAAGGCAGCAGCGTCACGGTGCCGGCACGGTGCTGCCCCGGGTACCAGCCCAGCTGGGGCTGGCGGTGGGAGCAGGCAACGTGGAACCAGGCAGGAACCAGGGAGCAGGTCCCGAATGTTTGAAGAAACGCTGGGAGAGTTTGTGACAGCAAGTGCAGAGCCAGTTTGCCTGTGATAGCTGAGGCTTGGACTCAGCGAGCAAGGAAATCTCTTCCAGTCCCTGCTGCTATAATTAGTGCAGCGAGGTCCTTATAAATAGGAGAAGTAAATATAAGCATATGCTAAGGGATGATGATTTCTCCTTTCCGCAGGGGTCTGTACCAGGGTTTCTCTTTCAAGTCCAAAGCAGAGCGCTCTGGCAGCAAGGCATTTCTCTTCCCCCCAGCCAGAGAGCAGGCAGAGTCACCTGGATAAGGACCTGGCCAACGCGACCCCTGCCTTTGTCACCCCCAAAACCCCCGGGACACCCTGAGCCTCGGTGAGCAGCCGTGCGTTCAGTGAGCTGGACAGGTCCGTGGGCTCGGTGCTGCTCCTGGCTATCGGGCACATTCAGAAAGCGAAGGCAAACAGGCCTTGGCTGGTTTCTGGATGGTGAAATAAATACAATTTCAGCCCATTAAAAAACCTTCTGAAGTATGTGTGTGTGCCCAAGTCAAGTGCCCTGACTTTAAAAGCTGAAAGGTTACCTCCAGGTCTGCTTCAAGAAGGTTTAGCTCGCAGCTGGCAAACCCCAGCAAAAAACAAGGCACGTCTGTAGGAGATCTCCCTGTGCTCACTGCCTGCAGAGGGGAAAAGGGGAA